CCTGACAGTGACATTTTAAGTGAATAACATCTGATAAGAGCTGACATTTGATGAACATACACAAGGGTGGGGAAGGGTGCAGCAGAAAAGAAAAGATTAGAGGTGATATTTGACGAGCATCGCCCTCACTTTGTTTTTGCTGGTACACAAACATGTGTACCAGCGGATGGGTCTATGAAAGATGAGGTGAATCATAGAATTGATGAGGGGAAAAGAGTGAGTGGTGCACTTAGGAGTCTGTGGAGACAAACAACTTTGTCCTTGGAGGCAAAGAGGGGAATGTATGAGAGTATAGTTTTACCAACGCTCTTATATGGGTGTGAAGCATGGGTGATGAATGTTGCAGCGAGGAGAAGGCTGGAGGCAGTGGAGATGTCATGTCTGAGGGCAATGTGTGGTGTGAATATAATGCATAGAATTCGTAGTTTGGAAGTTAGGAGGAGGTGCGGGATTACCAAAACTGTTGTCCAGAGGGCTGAGGAAGGGTTGTTGAGGTGGTTCGGACATGTAGAGAGAATGGAGCGAAACAGAATGACTTCAAGAGTGTATCAATCTGTAGTGGAAGGAAGGCGGGGTAGGGGTCAGCCTAGGAAAGGTTGGAGAGAGGGGGTAAAGGAGGTTTTGTGTGTGAGGGGCTTGGACTTCCAGCAGGCATGCGTGAGCGTGTTTGATAGGAGTGAATGGAGACAAATGGTTTTTAATACTTGACGTGCTGTTGGAGTGTGAGCAAAGTAACATTTATGAAGGGGTTCAGGGAAACCGGCAGGCTGGACTTGAGTCCTGGAGATGGGAAGTACAGTGCCTGCACTCTGAAGGAGGGGTGTTAATGTTGCAGTTTAAAAACTGTAGTGTAAAGCACCCTTCTGGCAAGACAGTGATGGAGTGAATGATGGTGAAAGTTTTTCTTTTTCGGGCCACCATGCCTTGGTGGGAATCGGCCAGTGTGATAATAATAAATAATAAAAACAAACATGTCTGTCTATTTGTCTGTCTGTCAAGCTCCCTGTCTATCCATCTAGCTCTCTGTCTCAGAGAGAGCCACAAGACTGCATCATCACCTTTTATCTTCAAGCAGAGTATAGAACTTTGTCTGGATTTTTTGGGTTATCCTAGGTAATTTACACTATGTATACTTGTATTTATGTGTTCCTGTGAGACAGAGATAGACAGAGAGAGAGAGAGAGATTGAAAGAGATAGAGACAGACAAAGACAGACAGAGGTAGACAGAGATAGAGAGACCCTAAACTTGGGGTTAACATCACTTTCCTCTTAAAAGAGGAGTGTAATATGACATTACATCAGTGAATCCTTGGTGTTTGCCGCACTGTTTGCTCTAGCTGGCGCTCAATTTAACTGGTGCTCCCACAAGGTACTAAGTGGTCCCAGATTTTTTTAATACCATGCACAATGAGTGTTAGGACCCATTCTATGCTGACAAGGCATCTCAGGCCAATCATGCCAAATTTGAAGGCAGGAAAAATAAAACGTATATATACATTTGAGGCACTACGCGTAAGAACGTATATATACGTTTGGACCATTTAAGAATTAAAAAGTGGTAAGCCACATAACTCTTCAATAATCATTACCCGAGTAATGATTTTTCATCGGCTAAATTTTAGTATGCACGAACATAAAAGATTATACAGTGGAGTGTTTCACTCACAAATGGGCTTTATTAAGTATCTGATAAAGCCCACTTTTTGGCATGCCATGTTTTATAGTAAACAAGTGCATATTAGATTCTATACAATTTGAAAAGGATATTCTCCCAAGAGAGGTGCCATAATGCAAGGAATCAAACCTAACCTCCCATTTCTTGGATTTAACCTGATTGCTTCTAGGTTAGTGGTCCCCTCCCATGAATGTAATAACAATACTATATTCAATAACATGTACTAAACCTGTATGGGTCATACAGCTTGAAAAGCATGTATGTTCATGAAAAACAGCATTAATGACACTATCCCATAAATTTTGTGTGGCTACCCTTTGCAATAAGAGCACCAGATTCTTTGTTTGTTATGTCAACACTCAAGAAAGCTAGAGATCTTCCAATTTTAAGGGTTTCTGCATTTATCATTATTTCTTCTCCAGTCTTGGCTGCTCTTAAATATCTGTAAAGAAAAGAGATGTATAACTGGATTTTATAATTAGAGCATTATTACATCTAATATAAAGTTCTTAATATAAGGTCCAACTATATAAGTAATGAGAGGCTTCTACTATAGTAACACCCTCTAATGGCCCTTATCCCTGATGTCCTCTCCCTGGCTGCCTTCCTCTCTGATAACCCTGTCAATACACTTTGTAACTTTTGACTAAACACCATTTCATCAGACTTAACATTTCTCTTTAGCAGAAGAGCCTATTCACATTTCATGCTCGGTGTAAAGCCCTGTGTAACTCATAATTATGGCCCCTATTACTGAAGGGGAAAGGTAATGAGCAAGTAGACTCAGCTGCTCGATCAGCTGTTCATGACTCCCAATTTCCCATGGGCAATCCTTACTCAAACTATTTTTTCAGTAATTACTCGATGACAACACACCTCACTCGGATACCTCGAGAAAAATTGCCTGGCTCCACTCCACGGGGGACTGTTGGGCTGCACTGTCAGTTCACTATGTCTTACTGCCCAGCCTATCAATGGGCACATTATTATAATCAAAACTAAGTGCTAAACCACCAGGGTCATACAGCACTGCAGGGTAGGGCTGTAAGGTTGGCAAAGAGTGCTAAAGGAAGTACAGTGGAACCTCAAATTTCGAACTTAATCCATTCCAGGACCTAGTTTTAAAGTTGAAAAGTTTGAAAGGCGAAGCAATATTGCCCATAAGAAATAATGGAAATACAATTAATCAGTTCCAGAAACCCAAAAATATTCACAAAAATACATTTTATAGATAGTATTACATTATAGTTTTACATACAACAAATATGGTGTACAATTATTAATAAATTTAAATAAACATATAAAATAACATTTTTACTTACCTTTAGGTAAGTAAAAATGTTAGGTATCAAAGCCCTCTCTGGGGTTACTTCCCTTCTGTCTTTTAATGCCACTAGGACCAGCTTGAGAGTCACTGGACCCCTGTCTCACAAAATAACTGTCCACAGTCCTCTGTTTCTGGCGCCTCTTTAAGATTCCCCTAAAATGGGACGTGTTGCAAAGATGGCTTGTTTCAGCTTGCTCAGGGTGGTACTTCTCCACAAACATTTGGACATCATTACACTTGGCGCAAATCTCCTTAATCTTTGAATCGGCATGCAACTTCCTTGCCTTTTCATAAATAATTGTCTCTGAAACACTATCACCTGCCATCTCTTTATCCTTGATCCACACCAGCAACAACTTCTCAACCTGATCGACTGTCTGTGGTCTTTTTTTGATTAGCATATCAACACCTTTTGCAACATCAGCTTCCCTGATTTGTTCTTTCTTTGCCAGGATAGAAGTGATGGCTGACTTGTTTTTCCCATACATCCTGGCAAGCTCAACAAGTCGCATATCACTCTCATACTTCTGTGTTATTTCCTTCTTCACATCTATGGTGTTTCTCACTTTCTTTACCACAGGGGTACCACTAGCAAGTTTCTTTGGGCCCATGGTAGCTTATTTCACAGTCCCACAAGCACTAAACACAATTAATTAATTGTAAAATGTTTGAATGAGACCACAGGTTAGTGTTCACTAAAGAATCAACAAATCCAGACTGGCTCACGGTGCCTGTGTGGGGACGCGGACAGATCCAGTACCCGGCAGTTCGAAAGAAGGGGCGAGTTCGATAATAGGGACAAAGTTGGTTCAAAAAAAGTGGTCTGATTTTTGAAGAGTTCGATAAGCGATACGTTCAAAATTTGAGGTTCCACTGTATGTATAATCAAAGGTTGTGTAATAACTCTGTTGCTGTCAAAAAGCCAGAGGGAGTCTGTGTCAAAGGTGGAGCCATCAGTGAGGAGGGAAGATAAAGCAAGGGTGTTAGACTGGTTATGATGTTGAAGGTAAATTATGTGTGCTCGCTGATAGACTGGGCAGTCCAACAGAATGTGGCAAACTGAACTTGGAACTTGACAATTTGCACAGTGGAACTGGGCGCCTCTCCACGAGTGAGATGTGTGCCCAATGTGAAGACAGGAAAGCAGTCTCCCATGCACGACATCAATGACAAGAAGACCAGGTTCCTAAACTCGGCATGATAAAGTGTAACTTGTTATGAATCAAGTTAGACCAACATTGTTGCTAAAGGTTGCAAAGGTGGCTAGATATTACAGCAATAACTTAGACCTACTTTCTTTGCTGACAATACAACTTTTTTCATCTCCCACCCTAATCTTACCTCGCTCAACACTATTGTTAATGAAGAGCTAATAAAAATATCGACCTGGATGACTACCAATAAACTTACACTTAACACTGACAAAACTTTCTAAATTATGTTTGAGAGCAGAGCAAGAAATGTTCAACTAAACATTATGATTAACCATACTTTTATTGCTAAACAATGAAGGAAAATTTCTGGATATGCATCTTGACAGCAACTTGAAATTCAAAACCCATTTCCAACACACAACAAAAAAGTATCCAAAACAGTTGGCATCCTCTCAAAGATATGCTATTATGTACCACAAACAGCACTACTCACATTATACTATTGACTGATCTACCCCTACCTCACCTATGCTATTTGTGCCTGGGGACCTCTTCAAGGGGGACTCCTTGGCATGGTGAAGAGGTTCTTGGTCTGAGGAATTAGACCTGTTGGTCTCCTTCCTCAGGCCGAACCTAATTACCCCCCAATCCCCCCTTCCCTATCCCATCCTCCCTTTTTCCTTTCCTCCTCCTCCTCCCCATCCCTCCCTTACTCCCTTCCTCTTTTTGGCCCTTGGGATTCTTCCCACAGGCATACTAGTTCCTAGGTAGGGGGAAGGGTACCGGGGTCCATCCCATTCCATTGAGGTTCTTGGCGGTGATGTAGTTTGCCATGGAATCTGGATCGCCTGGGGATGTCCCGATCCCTCTCCAGTCTCCTGGGAGGTGTCTTTTGGGTGATGGGTGTATCTCTGGAGGCCACCTTTCGGATTCCGGGGGTGGTTGCCAAAGAAGGTATGCTTTGTGGTGGATATCTGGCCGCCCTCTCTTTTGTCCACCGAGGTAGCTCGGCAGATGTGAGGTTGCTATCTCAGATTGCTGGTTTACTGGCATGAAGGGTAGGGTATGGCATGGGTTCCATGCCACATCTGTGCTACTTGCGGTGCTGAGGTCCTCTTGGGCGCGGAGGGAGATTTCCGACCCTTTCATTCCTCCTAGGAACTATTCCTCCCCATTCCCCCCTTTTTTTATTCTTTTTTTTTATTTTTATTTTCTTTTCTTCATTTTCTTAAAAACAAAAAGAAAGAACCTAAACATGGAGAACTCAATCCATGACTCTGTTACCCCCAGGCCCCTTCTTGTTACCACACCCCATTCTGACCCTGCCTCGTTTTTTGACCACTCTTCGGACACTTCTAATGCCCCTGTACCTCTTGCTGGTGCTGTTTCATCACCTGCTTCAGGTTCCGGGGTTTCGACTGACTCCTCCGATTTGTCTGACCTCCGCTCTCCTTTGACTATGTTTCCAGTCTCTCCCTCTACGGTGCAGCAATTTTCGAATTGCCAGCCCGTTCCACGTCAGACCAACTCAGGTCCACTCCTAAACGCCAACGACATTTACCTGATGATACTTCTTCATCACCTTCTTGTTCTACACAGAAAAGACCAACATGTCATGCACTCCCTTTCCACGCTCAGTTTTGGAATGCACAATAGACTAAATTCTTTACTTTATGACCGACTTCCTCTATTACCTATCTTTCTGACCATAGTATTGGCAAGGCACTCCTATGCCATGTTGGTAGAGATATTTCCTTTCATGCTCTCAAGAGCGGTACATGCTTCATCATTGTCCAGAATACTACCCAGGCTCATGATCTTTCTCTTCTCTCACATATCGATACTATTCCTGTCACTATCGAAAAACATCATTCCCTCAATTCTTGTAGTGGTACTGTCATTCTGCCCCATACCATAGTCCAACAGAATTTTCAGTCGTGTGGCGATGACATTCTCAAACAGCTGGAACTCCAAGATCTCCCAATCCTCAAAGTAGACACTTACGTTCTTCCTGCCCGCGGGCAGAGACGATACCCTTGCAATGTGGCTCGATTAACTTTCAACAGCTGTGAACTCCCATCCTCTGTTTATGTAGCAGGACATCATTTACAAGTTCGAAAGGTGATCCCTACACTGCAACAGTGTAGAAATTTCTGGCGATTTGGTCATCCCAGCGAAATATTGCAGATCTATAGCCGAATGCCCACTCTATGGTGCCGATGACCATTCTAATACGTCTTGTTGTCGACCTCCCTCTTGCCTTAATTGTCATGAGGCTCACCCTTTTTTACTCTTGCCGTTGCCAGGTCTACTTAAATGAGCGAGAAATCCATTGCCTCAAAGAAGCAGAAGGTCTTCCTTATGCTATGGCAGTTTCTCATCTATGCCTGAAAGGGAGCCTACCCCATATTTCTCATTCTCATGTTTCTAAACGTCCCCCCACTTCTGGGGTCTCATCTTTTGCAGCCTCCTCTGTGGTTACCCCTCCCATAGTCACTCCTGTCTCTAATTCTTTTGCTGTCCTGGGCTCAGAAGTCCCTACTTCAACACCTCAGTTTGTTCTCACTTCGTGTTCTTCCTCACAAACCCCGGTATCGACAAGACCATGTGTGGCACCTCCTCCCAATCATCCCTCTACTTCTCAGAAGTCCAAAAAATCCCCACTGCTCAAATCTCCTTTAACCCCTCCTTCCCTTCTTCCACCTCCACATTTTACCTTTCCAGTCTCTGTACCTGGTTCTTCCCCTCTCACTGGCTCTGTTACAAGTGTGGAGGTTAACCCTCCACCTCATACTGGGCCTTCCTCCCCTGTCTCCTCCCAAGTTTCTTCCTCTTCTGCCACCTCCCAGGTTTCTGCTTCTTCTGTCCCCTCCCACACTTCTTCTCCAGTTCCCTCCACCCTTTTGTCCTCCCCCTACTTTGGTACAGTCCATTACTGTCCCAATCTTTACTCACCTTACT